CGAACGCTGCTATTAACGGGGTGAAAACCCACGGGAACCGCGGCGGCTCGAACGCTGCTATTAACGGGGTGAAAACCCCCGGGAACAGGCGGGAGGCGCCGGGCTCCGGCCCGGAGGAAGCGCAGCCCCGCCGGGACGGGGCTCGCCCCCAGCCGCGCCCCGGCCCCGCCGCCTCCCCAGCGCCCTTGGGCGGCTCAGCCGCTCCTCGCCCCGAGCTCCGCCACGGCCTCGGCTGAGCCCTGCCCGCAGCCGGCCAGCAGCGCCCGCCTGGCCCCGCTCAGCCCCTGCCCAGAGTCCCCGCAGGGCGGCCAAAGCCAGGACCCCCGTCGCCAGCCCGGGACAGGAACGTGTACATTCAACTTGCACCTCATTCAGAGCTCAGCTCCTGCTTCCCCCCGGATCTGCTGCCTCCAGCTCTCGATGGAGCCACCGGCGCCCGCAGCCCCTTCCCCAGCAGCGTTAAGGTCTCAGCGGTACCCAGCTCATCCCACCTCTCCGGACAGGAAACTAAAGTCATTCCCAGCACACACGGCTCCTTCCCAGCCTAGCAATATGTACAGCCGCTTCCTCCAAATAAACTCGAAAAACAAATCCGTATTAAAACTGAAGCTGTCCTAGAAACACCACGGCAAACTAGTGTATCTGGATTTAGTTCATCAGCTAAACACAGGCACGACAAGTGTTAGAGAAGTGGCACAGAAGCACGGGCCGGGGGCTCGGCTGGGCCGGGGTTTGGGCAGGGACAGCCGGGGCACCGCACGCAGCCACCTCCGCCCGGCGCTCGGGATCATCGGGAATCGGATAAAAGCAGGGAGAAGGTGACGCCCCTGTCCCCTTGCAGCGGGGCAGGGCTCGTTTGCTTTTTGCAATCTCAGAAGATAAAGTGCAATGTTGCCACTTGCCTTCCTCCTGCGGTCCCTGAACCGGGACCGGCTGCCTCCCTTCGCCCGGGGCCTCGCCTGGGCACCCTGGGAATCTCATCTCAGATAATCTCATCCCGGGACATCCCAGGGAATCTCATCCCGGGGCACTCCAGGAATCTCATCCCGGGACATCCCAGAGAGTCTCATTCTGGGACATCCCAGGGAATCTCATCCTGGGACACTCCAGGAATCTCATCCCGGGACATCCCAGAGAGACTCGTCCCGGGACATCCCAGGGAATATCATCCCAGGCCACTCCAGGAATCTCATCCCGGGACATCCCAGAGAGTCTCATCCCGGGACATCCCAGGGAATCTCATCCCGGGGCACTCCAGGAATCTCATCCCGGGACATCCCAGGCCACCACAGGCCTGGGGTGCCCCAGGAAGAGCAGCAAGAGGAACGCGACATCTCAGCCTCCACCTCGTCCTTGGTAGCCCACGGCTGCCCGGCACACAGACCCTGCTCCCAGCGCCCCTGCCCGGCCTGTGAGCCTGGACTCGGCTCCAGCCCTGCCAAGGCCACCCTGGCTGGCCTCAGCCTGGGAACCAGGAGGCTCCAGCCTGGGAACCAGGCTCCAGGCTCCCCGTCCTGCCGAGGGGCTCCCCCTGCTCCTCTCCTCTCCTAATTTTCCCTCAATTCAAGTGTTGGAAAAAGAATCGCCCAAAGCAAAGGCAAGGCTGCCAAGCTGAAGCTGGTGTGTAGAATTTAGCAGAAAAGAAAGAAGGAAGCGTCACGGGCGGGCAGTGATATATACCGGCACACAGGGACCGAACAGGGCCACGGGGAGCGGGGCCGGCTCCAGCTCCTCCCACCGAGCGAGGCCCGGTGGCGGCGGCTGCTCCGGGGACACACCGGGACACACCGGGACACACCGGGACACACCGGGAGCGACGGCACGGCCGCCTTCCCCGGCCGGGATCACGGGGATGCGGAGGAGAGAGGTGGGGAGGAGGAAGAGGAAAAGGAGGAGGAGGAGGAGGAGGAGGAGGAAGAGGAAGGGAAGCACTGGGAGGTCTCTGGGTATATATAACCGCCCCTTTCAGGTGCAAATCTGCATCGTTTAAATTTGTATTCAGATGAAAAAGCACTTATGAAACTACCAGACGACTTTGATGCAAACTAGTACATTTTAATGCCATTTTATTAGAAACCATGCAAACTTTAATATAAAAAATACAAGTGCAATAAGAATCTTTGTGTGTAAATACAGATTCCGGGTTATCGTGTCGTTGTTGGCTTCCCAAAGAAATACTCCCACAAGCACGAGAAGCTGCAGGCTTCCCTCTGTCCCCTCCTGGAGCAGCCCCCCTTAGCACACGCCTGGTTCAGTTCTTTTTGATCCCAGTGTTTTGTTATTCTGCTTGCCTTTTTTTTTTTTTTTTTTTTTTTTTTTTTTTTTATTTTTTTTTTTCACCCAAGAACACTTTTTTTTTTTTTTTTTTTTTCAATTTATTTACATTTCGTTTCTTTAGTGTCATTTGAAACGAGGAGCTCCAAGAGTGGTTACATCTCCTTCCTAGTCAGAGCTGCAACTCCCNTTTTTTTTTAAATTCTTTAAATTAGTTTGACCACCCAAGAACACTTTCGTTTTTTTGTTTTGTTTCAATTTATTTACATTTCGTTTCTTTAGTGTCATTTGAAACGAGGAGCTCCAAGAGTGGTTACATCTCCTTCCTAGTCAGAGCTGCAACTCCCTGGCACCAACCCTGCCCTGCTGCCCCGGGATGAGCGCTGCCCTTCCCTGCTCCTGCTGTCCCTGCTCATCCCGGCGCATCCGTCACCCCAAAAACCCCCCACACCCCCCAGACCTGCTGCCCACACCCGCACGGACCTGCTGCAGCCTCAGAACTCCCGGCCCTGCCTCCTGCCCCCGCCACGGCCGCCTCCGGCCTCGGCCCTGGAAAAACGGGAGAAATCCCAGGGCTCGGAATAAACAAACCACCCCGGCAGAAGGCACCGCGGGGAGGGCTCGCGAGCATCAATTAACACAATCTCCAGCATCAATTAACGCATCTCCAGGTCAACACAGGCTCCACCTGAGCTCTCACAGCAAGTTTGCCCCTTCACACATTCCTGTGCCTTTCCTTCCGGACATGGCTTAATCCCATGAACTCGCTCCATCGTTTTAAAATAGTAAAAAGAAAAAACCCCAAACAACAACAAAGAAGTTACAACGGCTGGATATGTCAGTAAGAAGCCGGCACGGCAGCAGCGGTTAAATGTCCCTACTCTCCTACGGGTCGGAAAAGAAGGAAAGAGAAAAGGAAACTTAGCGCGGGTTCGAACACGATAATTCATCAACACTTCGTCACAAAGAATAAAAGGTTCAAGTCAACAGTTAAAACAGCCTAACGAGTGTGGAGGGGACTTATCGGCATCCCACGGGCGGCAGAAACTGAAGCGGCGAGGAGGGAAGGGGTTAAAAAAAGACAGAAAGAAAGATCACAGCTTATCCCTGTTAACTCGGCCCGGCCCGGCCCCGCGGGCTCGGCCGGCCCCGAGGGCGAGGGGAGCGCTGCCCGGCCGAGGCAGGCCGGGTTAGGAGAGCCAAGCGGGGCCGGGACACGAGCCTTGCTGCGAGGGCGGCGGTGGCGGGAGCGGCGGGGCCCGGGCCGGGCGCTGCTGGGAAGGGTGGGGGGTTTGGAGACCATGTCCGCTCCGTGGTCCGTTCGAGCTGGGCCTTGGCACGGAACGTCAGCTGGTGAGACTCAATCTGCAGCGACACAAGGGCAGGGGACAAGGGCACGCGGGGAGAGGAGGAGACAAGGGACAGGAGGGGAATGGAAGACGATACCATAATGTCATCATTAGATGCCTGGAAGATAAAAGGCGATTTTCCGAATTACAAGAAAGGCACGACAACCCCGCCGACGTCGCTAGCAGCGGTCGGGGGCTGCCGGGCTCCCTCCCGGGGCCCCGGCACTTACTCGTTTCTTGGATGTGAGTGTCGAGGCTCTGCGTTTCCCTTTGCTCCGCGCTGCCCGGGCCCGGCCCCGCTCCGTTCTCCGGCTCCGCGCCGCCCTCCGCCTGCAACGACAAGCGCGGCGCGGTCAGGGCGAGCCGGGGCCGATGGCAAACCCTGGGAAAGCAAATCCTGGCCGGCCCTGCGGGGTCTGACCCACCCCGCGGCCCCGGAGCTCCTCCGGGTGCTCCCGGGTCCTGGAGCTCGGCTGGCAGACACAGCTGGAACAGCTGGAACAGCTGGCACGGGGAGGGCCAAGGACAGACCCCAGCGCTCTGCGGCCGAGGGGTCGCTGCTGTGACACGGCATCGTGAGCTGGGGCTGCCCCTGAAGGGTCCCAGGCCAGGCTGGACAGGGCTTGGAGCACCCGGGGACAGTGGGAGGTGTCCCTGCCACGGCAGGGGTGGCACTGGATGTTCTTTAAGGTCCCTCCATCCCAAACCACTCCATGTTCCGTGTTGCCAGCACCTGGTGGGTCCCAAACCGGGGAGGCCAAGCTCCCACGAGGATCCCTTTTCCCTCAAGGCTGAGCCATGGACCAGGAGTGAGAGCTCAGAGGATCCCATCCTGCTCTGGCCTCACGGCAGAGCTGCTCATCCCACCTGGAGTCAGCTCCTGGCCCTGCCCTGGGGAGAGCTGAGCCCCCTGCCCTTGGAGGCTCCTGCTGCCCCGGGGGTCCCAGGGGTGACAGATCCCCTTGGACAGGACTGGGACAGCAGCAGCACTGCCAGCACAGCCAGCCAGGCCAGGGGACGCTCCACAGCCAGAACAAACCCAAACAGGTGAGGTTCTGGAGCTTGGGCGGAAGCACCCCTCACCAGCAAACAGCACCAGTGTCCTCACCAGCCTCTCCAGTCCTCTGGAATTCTCTTACAGAAAGTTCCACATCCCTCCCAACGCAGGAGCACCTTCTCCAGCTCCTTCCAGCTTTCCCTGAGCCATGATTTGCCAGGATGGAGTTTCCAGACAGGGCTGGAGACAGGAGAATCCTGAGCAGTGGCCAAGCCCTGTGCCCTTGCTTTGCCAGGAATGACTGAGCAAATCCTGCTGCCCCTCAGGACTGGCACTGCTGCTTTCAGGCTCTAACACAACAGCTCAGCCCAGCTCTGAGCCCTTCTGCACACACAGAGCCTCAAACAAACCAAGGCTGGGACACCCAGGGGATGCCAGTGCCTGGAGGGGATTCTCCTGGGTCTGCCTGTCCTGCTGGCAGCCCTGAGGCTGCCCCCAGAGGGGTTTTCTCTGCTTCCAGAGCCACCAGCCCCTTTGAAACAGCATCCTCTCAGAGCTCACCTCTGGAGAGGGACTTTTCCTGAGGGCCTGGAGTGACAGGACAGGGGGAATGGCCTTAGGCTGAAGGAGAGCAGGCATGGATGGGATATTGGAAAGGAATTGTTCCCTGGGAGGGTGGGCAGGCCCTGGCACAGGGTGCCCAGATCCAGCTGGATCCCTGGCAGTGCCCGAAGCCAGGCTGGACACTGGGGCTTGCAGCAGCCTGGGGTAGTGGAAAGTGTCCCTGCCATGGCAGGAGTGTCATGAGTCCCTTCCAGGGACCCCTGAGAACAATTCCCAACTCCTGGGGTTGTTCCAGTGACTCCCTGAGCACAATTCCCAACTCCTGGGGTTGTTCCAGCGACTCCCTGAGCACAATTCCCAGCTCCTGGGGTTGTTCCAGTGACTCCCTGAGCACAATTCCCAGCTCCTGGGGTTGTGCCAGCGACTCCCTGAGCACAATTCCCAGCTCCTGGGGTTGTTCCAGCAACTCCCTGAGCACAATTCCCAGCTCCTGGGGTTGTTCCAGCGACTCCCTGAGCACAATTCCCAGCTCCTGGGGTTGTGCCAGGCCCACACATCCCTCAGGGACGCAATGTCCCCTCCCTGAGCACAGATGTCCCATTGCTGCAGGCAGACCTGCAGCGTGCAGAGCGAGCCTGGGGACAGTTTGTGTTCCTGTGGGAGAGGGGATGAATCAGCCATGAGAGCTGTGCTCTGCTCTCACCCCCACAAAAACAGAGCTGAAGGACTGGGCTGGACAGATCCTTCCAGCTCAGGGCATCCCATGGATCTGGAGATGCTCCCGAGACTGCCAGGGGCTCTCTCCCAGCACAGAGCAGGGGATCTCAGCAGCTTTCACTGGGGCTGAAGGCCCTGCCAGCCCCTCTGCTGGGCCCACAGCCTGCAGGGATCCCTGCTCCCAGCTTCCAAGAGGATGGAGATGGGCAGTGCCAGCCCTCGGGATG